GGGGGGGGGGGGGGGGTGAACAAGCATTGCATCCACACCAACCAAAAAGGGGATAGTGGACGGGACCAGCGAAACAACGATTGCAGCAGCAGCAAAAACAACAACAACAAGGATGCCAAGGTATCATGTAACTTATCCGTGTGAGAGGGAACAGTTTTGCACATTGGTTTCGGGCTTCAACTCTGTGTTTGACTGTGGGCACAGAGACCCACCGATGTCTGCATGCTCAGGAAAAGCGGGGGGGGGGCAGTTTTTTCACTAGGGAGAAATCAAGCAGGACTGTACCCCGATTTGGCACGTGCACATGGAATAAAAAAGAAAGTCATTATTCCGTTACTTCGTACATCTCCGCAGGTCATGTGGTCTATTCAGAAAATAATCAGTTTGACGATGTTGTTGTGGTTCTGATACGAGCACATGGATGACGTTCAACAAAACAATAAACAAAAATCATGTTAGCACGTTCCTTGACTAAACATAACAATAATAATAATATTTGGTTGTGGAAGCTTTCAACTCGATGTAGGCCCTGTGCCACACACTGATCCAACATGGGGCAATGAATCATTCTGTTAGATTGATAGTGATGAACGTGATTTTGGTTCGGGCAATAAAATTGTACTTCAGCTCTGATCAATTTTGGAGGAGTTTTCTTTGCTAGTACACGTTAACTTGGAATGCTATTGTAAGCACAGAAGAACTTGATCCTATAAACTTGTAGTGAGCGTGTATGTAAGCTGGAAGTACCGCTAATCAAAACATCAAGGTTGTTATTGAGGGTAAAATATGACTTATTATTATGTTTTTCGATTGTGATCTGTACTGGGCGAAGTGGTATAACTTTAAATTATCCCAGAAGCCTCAATAAATTGCATTACGAAAAGGTTTCCCCTTTAAAGTGTCTAAAGTGTTTAAAGTTCTGTAATACTGGCACTGATCGGATTGTAGAAGAAACACTCACCGAAATAGGCCAAGGGACTGAATAACACGATGACACAAACTGGTTGGGAGAAACCGTTCACAGGAACAGCAATGACCACATCAAATTAACCCCGTGATAGATTAAATGGGGGGCTTAACGATAAACAGAGACCGCATTGTCATAGGCCAAATGGAAAGTAAGCAGCTTCGGATTGTGAGCATAATTACAATCCAACCACTGTCAAGCAGAACAACACAATTAGAGGCAAGTCCGATAGAACGAAGTCAAAAACTTTCAGTTGCGCCCAAAACGAAAAGGATTGCCCACCTAGTCAAAATGAGGATGTGATATGAAGGCAGTCCGGAAACGGGCAATAAATATGGCTAATCGAAAGAAAAACGTGGCTCACATCTAACACCGTCAGAATACTTCGGATGTTCTAAGCCCGAATCATCCCTTGAAGTGATCAGTTTATTAAGATGTTTTTAACAGGGGAAAAGGTGGCACACTAAAACATCCCGAGGTCCATAAGCAGACACGGACATGGCGGTGTCTAAATTTTATAGATACCTGTCCTATAAACTACAAACGAACCCATGTTCGGGTTCACTAACAAGAAACACTGAAAAATAATTTCTAACCAGTTCTGTCCGGTTTCCTGTAAGTTTCATAACAGTTATATAGCCAACGGAACAGAAGATAAACATGGCTTTCTTGCCCAAAAATACGGTTTGTCCTACGATTCGATTCAAAGTAAATTTAGGACAAAAACTGACGCCTCAAATGGTTGAATACGGTGACTAACCTGTACAATATTCTACGTTGCTTTAATCATCACTCGACGCAAAAGAGACCCAAGTGCCAAAAGTTCCCGATCAGCTCCATGATTAGGATCATTTCCAACACTAAATTCTCGACATACCATGTTTACACGTAGTCAATTTATCAGACATCCAAGGAGAGCGGGTATATGACTATCCAAATCAGATTTTCATATATATCACAAACTGCATAAGAATAGCATCTGCGCTCACCAGACAACAAAGAGGTTGTTTGCTCCAGTTTGGTGATGCCATTGGCAGTCGGCGGTTTTAGCTTAACATACAATGTGTGTCAATCGTCTTTATCGACTGTGGTCATCCCCGTGATCGTTTGATCACCCGTCCTCTGTGAGTCACTTCGTTCTGAGTTTGATTGGATTGATGTGATTAGTTGTCTCATATTTGTTTTCCTCGAGGTAATTTTATTCGTTCCTTATAGTGAATGCAATGTTACGGTCGATTGACTTTCCAATATTAGTGAACTCATGTTTTTAGGTGATCTAAGCTTTCCTCAGTGTTAGAAGTTGCGAAGGAAACGAGTGGCATGGAAGCATGCATCATTTTCTTGGGGGTGGGTGAAGGAGGCTGTCTTATCAACATGTGTGACGATTCGATAAGAAATTGATCCACATATCAATCGAATTTATCGTAAAATGGGGAACATACGTAGGGAAGGAGCTAGTGAGTTCTGCGACATGTTCTCAAATGCACACAGGAATCGATTTGTTTCACCTGAAAATTCCTTTACAGATCAGTTAGTCATTTTATATGCTAATGACTTCTAACCCCGCACATTTTCCCAACACAGTGGTGCGGCGTGACAGCCTGAAAGGTCGTCGTGGCCGTTTGTCCTCAAAAGCGCGTTGTCAGCTTAATGAGCACGTCTATTCTTCCTATGGGAACACTCACACGTCCGGTGCAGATCTGCTCCTCACAACTTCTACCGGTGGAGTCTCTATGGGCCTGCGAAAACCTGGCGCTGATTTGATCAATATGGATCGTCGTTATGTGGAACCGGTTGGAGCATCCAGTGGTCCACGAATGAATTCTTCCTCCTCAGCCTCATGTACCGTCAGCTCCACTGTGACATTGTTATCCATGTTGACCAAAGCTTATGACTTGGTGGGGCCATCTTCATCATCTGCAGCATCCAAAAGCGACGGAGACGCTCACTCGGTGCTTGATATGGACCTAGAAAGAATGGAAGTTTGCCCTAAATCAGACGATGTGAGTCACCTTATTCATCGATTTTTCATCGTTTCCAATATAAGCAGTACTTCGTGATTTACAGAACATCTATGTGATATGTATGCAACAGTGACTAGATTAGGGTGTTTCCATTTTAAGCTTCTACAATCCAGTGAAGCTGTTCTGAGTATTGTTTCCTTGTATTCATTGACTACCATGACTTCATCCTCGAGTGCTCTAAGATCAATATATATCCGGCAAATAATTTCACCTTAATAATAGTTATTGTATTCGGTCACAGGCTTCATAGGGAACGAAGAAGGTCTTCCTGTTGAATCCTAGCTTTCTTTCATCTTCAGATAATTGCTTCTGTTGTTCTTATTGAGCTAAATTTTGCATAATGAAAGAAACTTCATGGAACATGACTTGCGTCAAAATGTAGACAGAGGAACGAATGAAGTTGATATTATACGGATAAACTATCCTAAATATTTCCTTCTAACCGTATAAAATCACACAAACACAATTAGTTAGATATTTGACACAGGGGTGTTATTTGAACTATAAATCTATTTCATGTTCAAAGCTAATCTTAGAGTATCTTGAATTTCCCAAGCTAAAGGGGCTCCTTCGGAAAATCCTTTGAAATATGGGTAAGGAATCAATCAGTCAATCGATCAGTGCATTAATTCGTCTCCTATGCAACTATCCATTCATCTATCCATCCAATCATCCGTCCATCCATTCTGTTTTTCCGTCTGCCGGTCTCTTTTGGTAGCTGATTGTTTGATAGACAGACAGAGACACAGACAAACAGACAGACAGACAGACTGACTGACTGACTGACTGACTGACTGACTGACTGGCTAGCTGGATGGTTGGCTGTAATTATGCATGTATGTGTGTATGTATGTATGTATGTATTTTTGTATGTATGTATATATATGTAGGTATGCATTTGTGCACCTATTTATTTGTCAAGCATTTACTGTTAAACTAGATGATCAATTAATAATTCCTTGAGTGTGAACTTGCCAAATTCTTCAGCACTTTCTTCCCGCAGATTAAGTAAGTTATGGAACTGCTGCTTTTATTCATGATAAAACGAGCCTTTTTCTTTACTGGGAATTCCACAGGAGACGCTCACTTGGCAATTCTTCGTCGTTCAGCTAAAACAAGAGGAAAATTAAACTCTCAAGGTGCTACGGTATACTCGAGTGAAATGCCGAGATGCCCTCAAAATGTGTACAGACTAGTGGAAAACAAACTGTGCTACACTACACTCACTCCCACGTGCAGACTCATTGCAGAAACTGATCCATTAGTAGTCTACAAGTCTCTGGCCCAGTCTCCCACAGAGTTTAGGGAAAACAGAGAGCCTAATGGGGTTCTACGCAATCCTTAGACTGCGGTATATCATCAAGAGGTGGTGTGGATGCAGTTGAGGCTAGTGTGGGTGGGATTTTGATAGCCTGTTGGAGTGTTCCCCATGCACCACTCTTTCTCCCTAGAGAACGAGGATGTCTACAATTCAGTTCTGTCCCTTCAATCCCGGCCCATCCCCAGTGTCGACGAAAACTTGAATGACTAATTGGGTGAGTAAATGGGCAAATAAATATGGGTAGCAATGAGTTGGTTGGATGTTCACATGCTGTATGTGCTTCGCTTCGTTGGACTCAGTTGTGTGGGGACAAATCGCCAGACGACGAGTTTGACGGGATCAAGATCAATCCGGAAGGAAAGTGATGTTCAGATGCCCCGTGAATCTCGTCACCGTTCTTGTGGCTGGTTGCGGTCAACCGTATTGCTAGCGCTCTAATAGTAGACTATAGACGTGGCAATCCGCTGTGCATAGGAATGGCACACTCCCCATGTGGTATCTAGCCCCGACTCCGCGAGCATTGTCTACCGACAACGGCAAGATGCTTTGCTTATGTGTGTGCGTGTAACATCTTATGTTGATCCGTGGATGTGGTTGAGTGGATAAGAACGAGTTCTCCTTAGGTGTGTCTACACTCCAATCGGAAGCGAGTGATACACTTCTAAAAGCTTTTTGGATGGGAGTGTTCGTGTGCCGATTTAACTGCGTTGATTCTGGGTTGAAAACAAAAGGTAAGACTACTAACATATTTTCAGTGGAAATAACTATGGATAACTATGCCAAAAAATGAATAATACTTGCAATGTAGAATGGCATTGTTCGAATCAAACGCCACCCCCACCCTCACCCCACTGCGGTAGCATTTTTATTGTATTCTCTTCTGCATCATTTTTGGTCAAAGTGAATGCGACGGTACTCACTGGTTCAGACTACTGCTCCATCAATCAGAACGGTATTTTTGCTTCGTGGTCGGTAAACGACCAGGGTGGCAATCAACAGTTAGAGACGAAGTGCCCGGGGTTAACCGCTTAGGTGAAATTCCTCGACGGAGATCGAAGGCGGTTGTGGTTGTGAGTAAAAGCACCGTTGTCAAAAAACAAATATTAAGGATAACTATAAAAATTATCCTGTTATTATTATTATTATTATTATATTAATAATAATATTATTATGACCATTGATAATAGCTGAGAGCTAGTAAAACAACAACACATTTACCGTACTGAGCTATTTGATGTAGTGATATGAAGATTACAATGAAGGAATATTTCCGCATTGCCCAAGTCTTAAACCGGCAGGTGTAACACGGTGTAGTAAGCATGCCTGTATACGATGTAATCACATNCTGATGAATATTATGCTATTGTGGATCGATTTACTTGTCTAGATTTGAAGTCTACATTATCCTGATAACGTTTTACATTGCAACGTTTAACCCATTTATGTCTATGAATCAATCGATGCGCCCGTCGGGGTTACATCACTGTTTCAAATAATACGATCGCGAAATAAATGTGCTGAATTATCCCTCCAAACACCGCCCCGTCCTCGCACAACCGTCTCTATCAACACCATTCTTCCGACAAAGCTGATTGATCTGACTCAGCTGTGCCGCGGTGTCGGATCG